TTTTTTTTTTTTTTTTCTATCCACTGCATTCTTTCAGGAGAGTTCGGGATTAAGTTTAAAGAATTTCTTCTGATCAATTTTTTTCCCCGACAATAAGTGGAAAGACTTCAATGTGACGATCCACTCGATCGGAGGGAAAATGATGTTGATAATGGAAAATTTATATATTGCATACTCTCCTCGTAAAGAAAACTTATAATACTTGCAATATTATACATGCTCACAAATTTACGTTAAAATTGTATACCAACTAAATTTGAAATACATCACGCTGGAAATTGTATAAAATTACGAGAGATAAAATGTGAAATCAAAAGAACGTTTATGCCGACTCGCGAACTCCGCTCGTATTTTATCCGATTACGTTCCCAGTCTCGTCTAATTCTCCGTAGCAGTTCTTGTCTCGCCCCGAAACGATGCGAGTATGGTGCTTAACGTCAGCGCAAGAAGGAACAGAGTCGTCGTCGCCGCCGCCGACAACGACGACGAAAACGACGGAGCGGAGAAAAAGGGCATCGGGAATTGAATTTTCAGCACATCCGCCGGGCATACCGGAAGAGAAGAAAGAGGAGAAGGAGCAGAAAGGTAGGGTAGGTTATATACCTTCTAAGAGCTTTCTCGCATAAACTCCGGTTTTATTTGCCGGCGCCATATTGCCGCGGCATAGCTAAAGCCCCCAACGAACACGCTCTTTCCCGCGATACGGTCGCGCGCGCCCTTGCTCTCCGCGCTCTCTTGTTCTGAAAATAATTTTATCCCGAGTCGACAAAGTTGGGCCCCGGTGTGTACGATGCGGCAATAAAGAGGACGACAAATTGCTTTAGTGCCGCGACCCGGTCCGCCACCAAGTTCGGCGGTGAAACTCTGCGTCGTGCATCACGGACCGGCCCGTTACACCACGAAAGCTATTCTTGGGAAATCGCCGCCGGCCTCTCTCCCGCTCTCACCCTTCATCCGCGTAAACGCCCGCGCGTAACTTGTTTGTTCTCTCTCTCGCTCTATCTCCGAAGCAACCGACCTCCTTTGCTCGCGTGTTCACGCGTTTGAATTCATTAGCACGTCATTTCGCCGCGTGTCAAGTTCCCCGCGAGAGCTTCGAGAGCTTCGCGAGAGAGAGCTTCGCGAGAGAGAGAGAGAAAGAGAGAGAGAGAGAGAAGGCGCGTCACTAGCGAGAGACGACTAAGTTCATCATTCAAGATCTTCTCTTACAGACGCGCGGCAGCTCTCTCATCCTCCACCTCATATATCGTGCCCCTAGCGTGAAACGCCGACAATATATCGCTGCGGGATGATCCGTGTACCATGAGAGCCCTATACTCGCACTTCTAGGCAATAAGGAGATGCACGTCGGGTTCAACTACCTAGGACTCCTTATTGAGCCCGATGTGGCGACGCCCGAAGAGAACTTTCGTCTTTGAGAATTCTCTCAGCCGATATACGCGGTCGGATCTCCGATATGTGATTTTGCTTTCAGATCCTATAGCGTTCCGTCTCTCTCTCTCTCTCCTCGCGATTGATTGACACGTCAGCGAAATGAATAAACAGATTTAAAACTTACAAAGCTGAACAGAGTCAATTATTCTTCTTCTAATTATTACAACAGCTGACACAAAATCGCAGTAAAATCATGACAATTTTTTTTTACGGATTGTTCTTTTACAAAAACTCGCAATCTCGTCGCAAGATCTTGTGTGACTTTGAACAACTTCGACAGTATTTAATTATCGAACGACGATATATATGTTGCACTATCGCGAGCAATTAAAAATCAATTGCCGGGTATAAAGGATTGCTTTCATAAGACCAAAGAACGATCTCGAAATGTCATAAGCACACAAGTGTGAGCCACAGGTGGCACCAACATTCTTGATATAATTCATGAACGAACCATACATTCCGGAAAGGACATCTATCAGCTTATTAAGATCCAAACCGCGTGGTGTGTCAACCATTAAACCGTTTCCCAACAAACGTGATTCATGTAATCCGCAATCCACATCGCGTTAATACAAGCTGATTAAATCAAGCTATTAAATCACGCGTACCTGCGCTCTATTTCTCTTTCCTCCGTATGAAAAAAAAAGAACAAAAAAAAAAAGAAACGACGACGCTTCCCGAGTCAAAACTAATAAAAGAGCGAGATCAAAGATTCCTTTGTTCGCGTGAGAAAAAAATCATCGCGAATCGCGTAGCATCGCAAGAATGAAGGAAGATTAACTTTCCTAGGTATAAACTAACTGGATAAAAACAAAACAAAAAAAGAGAAACGAAAGACAACAAACCCGTGAGCTGAAATTACCTTGCTCCGGGCCGGCCTGGTTGATCCGCGCCCTGTTGCTCAGCGCGTTGCCCGGCGTCTCTTTTCTTAACGGCGCCGCGGGCGGCACAAAGCCGTTCGCCGCTTGCTGCGGCACTGCGACGCCCGACGGCGCCAGACCCTGAACGGCGGCCGCCGCAGCCCGATCCTCCGTGTACAGCAAGAAACAAACGGTCACCCACACGGCGGTCGCAAGCACCGCCACCTTCAGCCACAGAGACCTTCTTCTGGGAAAGCCCATCCTGTCCCGCCGTCGCTCGTCGCTCCCGTCGCCTTTGTGCGTCCGTTATGCGATCGACACCCCGACTCAGCGCGCGCGCTGCGATTATCGTGCTTCTCTCGTGCGGCCTCGAAATGTCGTGTTACCTCAGCAACATCCTCCCGTCCGTGCCTCTCTCGACCTCTCACCCGATCGACTCGTCGAACGCGACGTCGAAAGGTCCCAGACTACCAGTTCCTCCTTTCTACGCGATCGAGAACGCTAATTAAACGCCAGAGTCGAGAGAGCGGTATCCACCGCGAGGGGGGGGAAGGGGAGAAGGGAAAGATGAGCGTTTTTCTCTCTTTCTCTAGCGAGCGATCGGAAATTCCACGCGGCGTGCGAGACTCGCTCCTACGTTTTCCTTTATTCCAATCGAGACGACTGACCGCTGGTCCGCGCGATCGAATGCTCTTCTCGCGCCGTCGTTCGTTTTGCTAAAAACAATTTTTGTTGTTGTTGTTGTTGTTGTTTTTGTAGTTTTGATGTGACAAATCGCACAGAGTGAACAAATTGTCGAATGCAAAATTAAGTCTGCAATTTGCGAGACAGCAGACGTCTGTCGAGCTTCATTGATATGATACGTTTGGCATTCGATATGTCGGCGTTTGGCTCTTGTCCTGTCGCAGGCCTTTGATGATGCACGAGACGTCCATGCAAGCGTCTTGCATTAATGCGCATCAGCGTCGCAAACAGGATATATGTATATATTATGTAAAATATATACGATTCACAATATTTTATTTAACAATGTCGCGTGTATATGATGTGTGTGCTGCTACGATATGTATGTACTCGGATCGAGTGACTTCTCAACGTCACCGCATTCTTCCACCTGTAATCATAAAAAAACACACAATAATTTATATACGTGTATCCAGATATAAAAAAAAAAAAAAAAAAAAAAAAA